TTATACTAGAAGAAACATATTTCATTCATGAAATGTTCACAAAGTATGAATTTTTTTATCTGAACTGTACAGTTGTTAGTGACAGAAACATTAAGGAAATAGATCTAACTACATATTACTTACATTAATGGATTTAAATGTACATTATTAGTAAGCGTACTCCACTTCACATGTAATTGTGTTACAATTTATCTGATAGATATAACATCTGAAGTTCACTTTCACCAAAATGGCACAACTTACAAAAAACATATTTTTTATGTTTTCTAAAAACTGAACAATTATTGGTACTTTTAGGTTCATTAGAAATCTATTTATCGTAAATTTCTCTACATTATTAATATTAGCTTTCGAAACATTTATATCAATTTTGCAACACTCATATATTCAAAAAAAAGGCATGTACTAAAATGATGACAAAATATATTTGAAGAATGGAATGATAAAATATTTATTATAAATAAATTCTTAGTAAACGTGTTATAGAGAAAAAAGTTAAAAACAAATTACAAGTAAATGAAAGTACAGATATACTAAAAAGAGTATTTCCAAATATTTATAAATAAATGAAAAATTGTAACAGATATTTTATTTATTTCGTTCGCAATGCCTTTTACAAAATGTTCATAGTTGGTTGCTAAATGCGATTATATCCTGCTCTGAAACGATTGTTTTATCGGTAACTATTTGCCTCAGCACATTTACGTATACACCAATAATTTCCTGCTGTCTATTAAAGGTAAATTACTCTATTAAAGGTATAATTATCACAATAGTTTGTACCTTCTAATTAGTTTAAATTCAATGGTTTCTCTTTAACAGCTGTGTAAAAGAATAAAAATCTGTCCTTTGTCTGTTTCAAATACAAATAATATTGTATTTCATTTGAAAAAAGTGAAATAATTTATAACTAATTTTAAACAATTTGGAAGAAATATTTGTTCTTTTTCAAATTTTACCTGTGTATTTATCGTCCCGCAGTTATTTTAAATAGCAGGAGTATATGTTTGATGACTGACTATCATAAAAGCAATGCAATTTTTCCAAGGATACAGAAAGCCACACTAAAATGTATCAATTGATTATTTTTTTTAACATTCGCGGTAATTTTCCTAAAATTTTCAACATCTCATAACTATTGTATAACAGACCTAGAGAAATTCTAAATACATGATTTCAATAATAACTGAATTCATTTAAAACATTTTCTGTTTAAACATAACTTCATATCATCTTCAACTTCATTATTTTAACTATAAAAGTTTCTTTCTGATTTATTAAGTTAATATTTCAAACAATAACGGACAACGTTCTGTTTTTCAATTACTTAATCAATAAATATTTATGATATATGTAAAGGAATATATCCTTTTTTATAATCGTAAAATAACAATCCAAAGTTGCCTATTTAAAGTAGGCGATAGCTATCAAATTACAGTCAGATTATAAAATTACAAAATTAAAAAAATATTTTACATTATTAAGTACATATGTCTCTTCTTAAATTATTTAAAAATGTAGCTTTAGTACTGGGTGTACTCAGAGCGTTCTATTTTTCAAGTCCTTCAATCATAAAAACGTAATAATTGAAAAAGATACAAAAATAATTTCAAAATAAATACAAACTATCGAATTCGAAAATGTGGTTACATAATATAAATTTATTAAACTTTCAATTCTAGTTTATGCATCCTTCGAACATACATTTATTTGCGGAAGTGGTATAAGCGAGATTATATAGGACAGGCGACACAGTTGAAAAATTATAAACAATTAATTTTGTTTATAATTAGAGTTTAGTAATTACATAAAACAGCCAAGAAACCTCATACTTTCATAACAACTATTTCGCGAAATTAAAAATTGTATTAATTATTTTAATTATAAATTTAATTAAAAGTTATTTAATTAATACCGATACTATGACATATTTTCGCAAGTTCAATGTGGATATTCCCTCATCGTGCAACGTATTTAATATCAGTCACCACAAAATGGAGCAAGATGAAATTATTAAATTGAATGATCGCTCGGTCCGAAATTCATTCGTTCTTTGTTTGCTCCTTTACACGGGCCACGTATTGCTCTGTGTCTCGATCGATGATAATTATTCTCGTAAATTCGAGCATAAATGCAGGTGGCTAGGCTGGTAACGGGGTGAGGGGGGATCGGTAGGTTAAATGCTCGTAATGACGTCTCGTAATTGCATCGAAAGTTCGCGGGGAAACTGTAATTATCGCACGGCTGCAGTTTCAACGATACCATCGTTCGTGTCGGTACAATTGACGGAATGCAAACCACGACGAAAAATATTTCCTCCTTTAGCTTCGTTGGGACGAGACTGATTCAAATTGAGAAAACAGGTCGAGTGTCGAACAATTGCATCGCACACTATTCATTTGTACTTGATAAATCGTTTAATACGAAAATAATTGGAGTATTACCTACTTGGAGATATAATTGCTCATCAACAATTTTTCTTTATTTTACTTAATCGTTTGATTACATTAATTATTTGTTTTTATTACTTCTTGGTTTAAGAGACGGTGAATAATGTAAATTAAACAGCGAATGTTTTTCATCCCCCATTGCATTGTGTTATAGTTATGCTACTGCAAGTACATACGAAATCTTTGTACTTTGCTAATAATAAATGGCTATTAAGTCCAATAAATAATAAAATTATTGTAAACATTTTGTGTGGTTCATAAGTATGATTTCGTTATTTTTTTTATTTGTTTCTTCTTTTCTAAATATTACGAAATTATTTCATTCCCGTATTTTATATTCACATTTATATTTATACATAAAATATATTACTATAGAGTTACTATATTTTATATATTATATTTTTAAATATTTTTTATATGTATATCTCGTATACTGCATACTAAATTATATCTGTTATATATGTAGAGTAGGAGGGTAAGGAGAAAAAAACACGGGTATGTTTTAACAAAAAGAGATTAACAATATATATTTAGGAATACACACAAAAAACACACAATACTTCGAACGGCACTGCTTTCCGTCGAAGTAACTACGATTAACTCGCAAGCATTTCGCACACGCCAAACGTCGTTAAACAAAAGACGATCGCTCGTTGATGGAAAAAACCCATATTAACGGTCATTCTATGGAAAAAACCCTACATATATTATTATATCTTCTGCACCACAATTTTTCAATAAAAAATATTTATTTTCATAAACTTATTGTTATTTTTTATTAGTCTTATTTGTGAGAAGTGAAGAATGTATCTTTTCCAGAATTAAGAAATGCAATGAAGGATTAATCTCACAATCAGTAAGCACCTAATAAAAATTAATTTATTCTCCTCAATTAAAATGTTCGAATCACTACTTCTTTATTTTGTTTTATGATATTTCATAATATTTGAAATTAGATACGTTATCTTCAAATTTTAATCAAAGTCAGTATACACCTTACATCTTATAAGAATTTAGATACAATTTAATTTACCCATCTTAACTGCAATGAAAAAAATTATTTGTCTAGTAAATGTGCGAAAAAGATTTGTATTGTCATCATTTTTTATTTACCTTTCTATATTTTTATATTTTTTAATTTGAAACATGATGTAAAAGGTAATTAATTAATACGCAATGTAAATTTCACTAATAATAGCAATAAATTAACACGTGTATAATGAAAATCTGTTCGAACACGTCTATCTGCACGATGGACATTTCACTTCCGGCCGATCGACAATTAGTCGAAGGACTGTTCGACTAGTTACGTCGATTTGAATAATTTATTTGGACGATCAACCGTATTAATATTCATTATTCGGTCAATATCTCGATTATACGAACCATCGGCACTCGGATAATTATCTAGGTAAACGTTCATTATTCGTTTGAGTGAATGTACGATTGATTGATTTAAATTTGCCATGTGCCGATATTTTCGATACTGTTGAAGTCTGGATTACTAACATTTGCAGAACTGTTTACAGAACACTTTAGAACGAAACCATCGTCCCTTTACAACAATCCGAAATGTCGGTAATTACAAGTGTGCGTTATATTTATTTTTCTATCTTTTTGAAGTTTCTTAAAGCGTAAAATCGACTGCAGTGTTTCAGAAAAGATTACAGAATTGAAGAATAATATCATGGATGGCAGTAATAAAATTAAGCTTCAATTAAGCTACTTGGGTTTGTCAAAAGAAGTAAAAAAGTCATTTTAATAATATATAATATATCGTAATTAATGTTATCAAATAGATCAAGTTAAAGCTAAAAAACATGATAAATTTTGAACATTTTGTGTGATGTATTCCATCACTTTCAATGACCTTGAAATATATTGTAAAAATCAACGTACTGAATAATTTTTTGGTACAAATATAAGCTCACCTTGAGCGCAGTATTTGATTTATATACCAAAGTGTTATAATATTATTCAGTTCATAATAAAGTAATAGCAATTTAAATCAAGTTTGGATTATATTTAGATTTGATAGTACTTCAAGGTTAATAAAATAGGTATGAAAACGTAAGAAATTATTGCTTTATTTTAATTTGAAAATGCGATATTCAATTTAGATAGCCTTATAGAATGAATCATAATATCTAAATACATGAATGAATACTAATAAAATGTTTACAAGATTACTTTGAAAATCAAAGTAGATTAAAGTATCAGAACTAAAATTCAGCAAAAAATAACATAACATTAAAATTTGAAACGAATTTCAGTTAAATATCTAAATAAAATTGGTAATACTATTATAATTTTATAACATCGTCAAATCTATATCGCGGAGAAAATTCTTATATGATTCCTGAATTGTTATTTTACGTTTTATTAGCAAGCGAGATTAATATTAGTTTCGAAAATATCAAGAACAGTTTTTGGTGTGTTATGATATTTTAATATTACGCAATTACTGTCAAAACACTGAAATTATAATTTTATAGAATCTTTGAGACACTAATTGCATTATAACGTATAATGTAGGATTATTTTACTTACCCCACTGAAGGTTTTGACGTTATGCAGAGCATTCTGTGCATCCAGGGCTGCTTTTCTCGTATAAAACGTAACGAAACAGCATCCTGAAACACAAAACAAACACAATGTTTCATCAGATAATTAATTCCAAAGAGATGTAAACAATTTCTGGTATTTGATTTCAATTTTAATGAGTTGATACGTATAAATTTTCATCGATTGAACTCATGTTCTATTAACGCATAAAATAATATCTTTGCATTATCAAAATGTTCGAAATTATAAAACTTTTCTTAACATTAAAAAATACGATTTTGTAAAAGATCCAATGTATAGAGAACTAAACATAATTTTATATGTACATCTCAGTTTTATTCAAAAAATGAGATTTGTATTAAGACATTACTCACAGTTCTGACATTATGTTGTAATTAGTCAGTATAGCAAGTACCATAATCTTACCCTAATTGCAATCGTAATATAATTATAAAGTATAACGCTGTTATCAACTAATTAGTATCGCAGCACATATTTTTAAAAATATATCTCTCGAGTATAATAATTTGACCACTGTAAATATAATTTCAGTAAATTTAATTTCAGAAAAATGTCAGGTTCACATGGCATATCCTTTAATTTCCAAGATATCTAATAAAATAGCTTGTTTATCCTTAACTCTGCAAGTTGTTTCGCCTCTTTCACTGTGGATATTTGCTTGTATCAAATATTTCCTATCTACTTCTGTATCATATCGAAATTGAATCAAAATTGGCGTGTGTCCACGTTAATCGTAGACTACAACCACGCAAGATCCCATCAGATATTCCCTTAATACACTGAAAAACGCCAATATCGATAGCAGAAAATACAGAAAGATACTCAATATAGATGACACACGATCGATACCGGCGACAGATTCGATAGAGAAAACAGTCGAGCAAGTCGGTCACTCTTGGGAAGCTCATCAAGGCTTTTCCGTGTCTCTTCGACGTCGCAGCTGGACACCACCCAAGTCAGAAGCGGATTGGACAGGTCGATAGTTTCGAGTTGCCAAAAGTTCGATACTCTGTTCCCTTGTATTACTACGGATACATCGTCTCTTTACTTTACGCAATCTACCGGTGACTTACTCCCTTTCGTTCATCTCCCTCGCAAAAGGTTTAGGTTGGATTCGGTTGAGACTTACATTCCGTCCGGTTTACGAGCAAAATGGCTGCATAAGTAGCAGTAACTACGTACGGACTAAATCTATGACTGCGCATTTGGTTCCAAAAAAGTTTAAAAGGCATTAGAACCTTACAGTTTAACGAATGTTCGGGACCAAGTTACTTTTGTTCATAAAACAAAAAATAAAGCCGGTTAAATTGGTTCATTTCCAAATAACGAGATAGATATTCACATAATGGAATTATAAGTCGATAGTTTTTAGCTCATAATATTAACCTGTAATTAGTGTTGTTAATTAATAACATATAGTTTTTAATGTAACATACACATAAGTAAAGTATAGTTAATTCATGTATCTATGTACTTTTATGTACAGGTTGTCTTATTGTAATTCGTGTACAGAATTAATTTGATGATTCATCAGGTAAATTTGATGATTACCAATAACTACCAATTTAATCATCAAATTTACGTAGGTGTGTTTATTTATCTAGGTTTATAGTCCACAGTGAAGCAAATTTATGGTGGCATACATAATACAATTCACCAACATTGATGTTTACAAGCATAAAATATTTATTGATGAATAACCTTTCACGATTTACACGTTATAGGTCTATGAATTCATAAAGGAGTGAACTGCAATCTTCAAATTTCATAGCTTAATTACAGAAGTTATATAAACTTGTAACGAATCTTTGAAATACAAACTAGTAGTTCTCTTTCGGAATAATAAAATAACTATCATCGAACATTTAATTTCTAATGCTTTGTACAATGTATTTTCAAATAGTAAATGCTCTTTCAAATAACCTGTATATGATGATAAAAACGGTATAAAGTACATTGTATTTTTATTTCATATGTAAGTTCCATTACTGTTGTGGATCGATGATGCGGAGGACAAGATGGATACTTTTAATATTTAAGGATGAGTATTTTAATATGAATAACATTAATGTGAATTAATATATTAGTCTGAATATCCACGACACGCGTATTACAATTACTATGTATACAATATCAAACGTAAGTAACAGGAAACTGGTTTTCGTTTATGAACAATACTAAACTGTAAATTGACGATCCATTGTTTGCTGTAATATAGAATTAGTAATGCTGTATTGGGAATATCGACGAATTTAATTTTTTTAAGTTTTAACTGATGTGGCAGATTATTTTGTAGTATGTTTATATCACCTTATGTCAGATTTTCAGTGTTCCAAAATTGGTCATTTAATATGACATAACCTAACATGTACATAGTAAGCTTATTCATTGAACTGCGTACTGTTTACTATGTGCAATTGAAATTGAATAATACCGTGTATAATCTAAACAATGTTATTGATTTTAGAGTAATACAAATGCAATGCATTAAATAGACGTATATACATTGACATGTTAGTTATATGTTCTTATTGTAATAGTGTCAATCGTTATAATGTGTGAGGTGTATTTAATTAATTGTTGTGCAATGCCAAAGGTGATGTTTATGTAGCAATAAAAGCCTGTGGAATAGGTACTCCCCTTGTAAATTATCAGTGAAAAGTTTCATGTACTAAAATTAATTAACGAGAAAAAGTATCACTGTCATTGATTAAACGAATATATCATAAATTTGTAATATATAGTTATTTTCATTTTACAATATATCATAATCTTGGCTTTCTTTATTAAATGGTGAAAGTTAAACTAATACATATTTATCAATGGAGACAGTAATGTTTAATACATTTTAGTTAATTTACAAATTTTTCTTTCACATATACGTTTTTACTAATTTATGTGAAAATAGATATTGTTTAAATATAAAAATAATTGCAGTTATCTTAATTGCTTCTTTGATCGGTTGATTATTAGGACATTGATCTTACCTATCGGAAACCGAACAGTTCTGTTCGGAATCGTCTGAAAATTTTGGACACAATGGTGAAGCCATCGCAGATATACTGATTGGTAACGAGATATTCGTTACTGTATCGAACCCGTGTACGATATCGCGAGACGTAATTGAAAAATGCGTAACACGATACCTGTAGCTCGAGACGCGTCGAAGTGAAATTTTGCTTCTGTGTAATTTTCGTTCTTACTATATCGCCTGGGCTTCGTTTCGTTGGTAACGATCACGAAGAGTAACAGAATTCCCTTCAGCAAGAAAATGAGAAACTTGATATTTTCTGGCAACGTCTAATAGACGTGCTAGACAGGCGTTTCAATGGAATCGAATTTCGTTTAAAGATACTTTGGCATCCATTCTTTTCTTCATCGAGGAATATACACCGTCCTAACAATCAGACTTGTGATTTTTTTACAAATAAAATGTTATGATACAAACTCTTTCAATGCTATAATATACGCGTCTAAACACAGTCATTATAATTACTTATAACTTCGAACATACTTTCAATAAATATGAAGCTATGTCTTTACCACTAAGAACAACTGTACACGAATTATATAAGACTGCAATAATATATGATTTCAGAAAGAAAATTATTACTTCTTATATTTTACTGCGAATGAATAAAATTCCACAAGTGTAATGCCAAGTTTACAAATTCAGTTTCATTAATCATTATTTTAGAGGATATAATCGTTTTTAGTGGATAGCAACATACATCCGCGTAACAACAAGATCTTAGTTTCATTCTAGCTGCGTTGAAACGGTATTTCACGATATGTACTAAAATAAAAATATCTTATAAACTAATGTTTTTTTCTATAAGTATCTTAATACCTTACAGATAATAACGAACTGCATTAAAAAATATATAACTCATATATATTTTTGCAGTGCATTAAAAAATTCATATACATTTCCCCAATGTTCATACAGAAAACAGATAATTTCATCAGATGATTTACCTCCTCAAATCATATAACTTTTATTTAAAACATTTTTTGCGTCATCTGTATTTTCAAAAATATTCCAGTAGGTCGATTTAAGTGGGAGTGTATACATGAATCTAACTGTATATTGAGTGTACTAGTAAAGTTGTGTATATGTCATGGTACGCCCTGTAGAAGTAGATAGTCGAGTAAGCGAGTACTTGCGAGAAAGTTGTAGCAAACATTCGCCTGGTGGTAAATGCTGGAAGTACTGTCACAACGTCGTACTATTAACGAACATTAATACATACATTAAGCACATTTTCGAAAATGTAGATTACGAAGGAATGTAAAAATCAAAAAATGTTAAAATTCACGATTGTTTTGCGTGGAAGGATGATTTAAATGCATTTTTATCAGCGAAGTGTCGCTCACAATGATCAGAAATAGTTTTGCAGAAAGCGGTTACATGTCTTCCTTTTTTTTTCTTCCAATGGCACTTCGATGACTTGATTCCGTCTACAGAAAGGGCAATGCATAATTCGCGGCTCGAACGACGGGCGTTTCACACGCGGCGTGTCGCGCGAGTGTAATCCGGAGTCCAATTAACGATAATTACGACGTCAATTGGGAATTCCTAATGGCGAGCGAACGAACGAGTCCTTGCAAGCGACCTAGCCCAGGCTGTTCGTTCGTTCTACTACTCGTTCACCATGATTTTTGCAGACGGAGTAATTCGGAGCGCAAATTAAACTCGCTCCTCAGATTATAACGATGCCTTGCTTCTACCCGTATTGATAAACGAGAACGTTTCGGCATTCTCTCAATACCGTGGCTCGTTTGGACGTTTCGGAACTCATTAGGACACGATTATTCCTAACAACCTGTCTCGGTGTATTCAAATTTCCGAATGTTCCATCAAACGTGTTAATTGTATCGTTGTATGTTGAGACCAGGACTCATTACGCGACCAGCTGTAACATTTTCTATTTGTATTCACTTGATTAATTTAGAGCTGCTAATGCCGTATATACACAGGGTATCACAGTATTTTACTGCCAAACTTTACCAACACTGTTAGATTTATTTAACATAAACTGAATGT